ATTCACAATTCACTTAACAATTATTCAGTGATTCACTTAACAATTATGGCAACAAAGGTCATAACATGGGGGCAAAACTGAGTTAAATCAGAAATTTTAGGCTCCATTGTGGTCGTAAGCCGAGGGCAACCTGTAGTCTACATCTGTAAAGAAGAATTCCAGGATTTCTTGTGGAGTCTGTTTCCTGATCTGGCCTACATCGAAGGGCTCACATACAGTAAATCTGACTTACATATTGCCTGGGGAACTCTAAGGCCCTGACTCTCTCCCCTTCAGACGATAAGAATGAACTTTTGAAAGCTGGGTATGTCAACAAGACTCTTTATTGCAAAGGAAAAAGATCCAAGTGACGTTAAAAGCAGGGTCTAATGTGTCTCCAGCTATGCAGCTTAGATAAAGGGAGTTAGTCCCCTTAGTCCGGTGTGGATTTCCTCAATACAAAGAAGCAACATGTTAATTCCCCCCACCCTACTTTTTCTCGGAACGTAGTTGAGAAGAGCTTCCCAGGAAATTTCTTTCAGAGCTGGAATTTTTATGGCCCCCTCTTCTCCTCTTGCTATCTCTCCAAGAGGTGACAAGTTTCCAGGCATCTGGGCTCCAGTCCCCCAGTTGTATATCATGTGCAAGTTATACAGATTCAGTACAAGAATTAAGATATTCAGGTTACATCAAAAGGATTATTTGTATCAAACTCCCCCCCCCCTTCTTCTTCCAGCGAAGAATGGCAGATACACAGATCTGACATAGAACAGTGGCCTCAACAACTCTTTAAAAAGAATGCAAATGACCAGCTGTCCGCAAAGGAATAAAAATCCTTCTAATCTCCACCATCCAGGCAGAGCTTGAAGAAGCTTCTTGGATGAGACGGAAAAGAAGAAAGTCCAGGTGCCTCTTGAAAAAGCACCTCTTTGGGAGTGGCTGTCGAGTGGCCCAGAACAACATAGATGTAGATCAGGGGTCGCCAACCTTTTGGACCTCAGGGACCACCAAACTCAATATTTCAAATCCCGGAAACCCCTAATGTGAATTTTGACCGACGTGGCTTGCTGACATTGGTGGGAGAAAGGAGAGAAAGAGAGATCTGATCTAACCTCGGAGGGCTGGTGATGTTCTCACACTCACTCTCTCTCTCTGTCTCTCTCTCTGTCTCTGTCTCTGTCTCTCTCTCTCTCTCTCTCTCACACACACACACACACACACACACACACACAAACAGAGAGATCCCTCACACATACACCCACCCTCCAAGGCAACCCCATTCCTAGCCTGCTTTGAGCTCCGTTCCTAGAGGGAGGGGGCGAAAAAAAAGAAAGAAAGATCCTATCTAACCTTGAGGGCTGATGATTTTCTTTCTCTTTCTCTCTCTCTCTCTCCCTCACACACCCTCACCCCCTCCATGGCAGCCCCATTGCTAACCTGCTTTTTGAGCTCCGTTCTCAGTCTGCACACAAGGAAAGCAGCCAAAAGTCTTTCTTTCTCTCCCCCCAAACTCCGCCAGAAATGAGTCTTCGCCGGCGCAGCCTCTTGGAGCAGGAGGCCTTGCAGGGTCCCAAAGACTCATTTCTGGCAGAGTTTGGGGGAGAGAAAGAAAGACTTTGGCTGCTTTCCTTGCGTGCAGCCAAAAAACAGGAGAAGAAAGAAGCAGAAAGAAGCAGCCACCGGTGGCCAGGCAAGTTCCTCCCTCCGCCCTCCCCTCTCTACCTCGTGGTGTTCCTAATGCAAGCGACAGAGGCCTTGTGTTCCTGTGGGCCATGTGGGTGGTGCAGCCTTGTGTTCCCCGCAGCCTGGATTAATTGCTTTGGGGGGGGGGTGTGTGCTTTGGGGTGGCATTTCTCTGTGGACCACCAAAATATTCTCGTGGACCACCAGTGGGCCGTGGACCACTGATTTATATTGACTGTTTCCTAGTATGATTTGATTGCTTATTGTACCCTATGACTATTATTAAGTGTTGTACCTGATGTGTAGAATTGTAATTGCAGGAATGTTCCTATCTCGGATGGCAAACCTCAGGTAAAGAATGTTTCCAAGCAAATACAACTCAGGCAAACAAAGTCACTAATCTAAAGGAGGATTAGAGAGAGGAAGCAAACATATGTTAATTGTGTTAATTACTATGCTAAACAGTAACGAAAGTTAAGCAGTAACCAAAGTTAACCAATGTTGGAGGATTACTAAAAATGTGTATAAATGCAAGACTAGACTCCAATAAAGTTCATCATGGTTCAGTTGATCATGATCAAACACCTCGACTGCCTCGTCATTACAACACTTATGATTCTTGATGAATGTATCTTTTCTTTTATATACCCTGAGAGCATTTGCACCAAGAGAAATTCCTTGTGTGTCCAATCACACTTGGCCAATAAAGAATTCTATTCTATTCTATTCTATTCTATTCTATTCTAGTCTAGTCTAGTCTAGTCTAGTCTAGTCTAGTCTAGTCTAGTCTAGTCTAGTCTCTAGTCTAGTCTAGTCTAGTCTAGTCGAGATGTTAACTCCCCCAAAAATCATTTTCAAGTTTTGGAAGTTTGGCTGGAGACCTCATGATTTAATTGGGGTAACTGCCGGAATCCTGACAGTAGAAAGGAATCAATAAATAGCATTTCCCAAGATCGTAGTCTGAGCACTGATCCAGCAGGAAGCAGCAGCTTAGCCAGTGAGGGATATAGATTGTTGATCTGAAAATCAGGTCCTTGGCTGTCTGAGTCACTTCTGTCTCCCCTCTCTTCCAGCCGCCGCTACGTGGATCGTTGAGTCGAAAGAGAGGGATGACACCGAGTCTGTGAAGCTCCAGGGGTCTCCTTGGGACAGCCTCCCCAAACCCCAGGAGGACAGAGACACCCCGGTGAGCCGCGACGCCGTTTTGAAGCAGAAGGGAGAAGATGGCTCAAGCCAGCCCATGGCTGAAATCTTTCCCCTGGCAGGAGAGGAGAGAAACCTAAGCCCTCCGGCGATCAAGAAGCGGTACGGGATCCGGGGAAAGAAGACTTGCTCCGTCTGCAGCAAGACCTTCAGCCGGAGCACAGTGCTGGCCGCGCACCAGAGGACCCACACGGGCGAGAAGCCGTTTGCCTGCCAGAACTGCGGGAAGTGCTTCAGCTTCAAGTCGGCCCTGGTTGTGCACGAGAGGACCCACACAGGCGAGAGGCCCTATTCTTGCGATCGGTGCGGGAAAAGCTTCTCCGTCAGCTGGGTCCTCACCAGGCACTACCGAGTCCATGCTAAAAATGAGCAGACGGGCTGTTTGCAGTGCGGGAAGAGCTCCAGCCAAAAGTCTCAGCTGCTCAGCCATCAGAAAGTCCACGTCGGGAGGGAGGAGCCCTTCCGATGGACCCAGCCGGGGGAAGCCTTTGGTGGGTGCGCTGTGACCATTAAGAGACAGGAAGTTTCCCGCTCTGGGGCGGCGAAGCCCTTTGGCTGCCCAGATTGCGACAAGTCCTTCAACACCTCCTCCCAGTTGGACAGGCACCACCGGGTGCACACGGGGGAGAGGCCATTCACCTGCTCCGAGTGCGGGAAGAGCTTCAGGCAGTGGCAGATCCTGATGGTGCACAAGAGGATTCACACGGGCGAGAAGCCGTTTAAGTGTGCCGTCTGCGGGAAATGCTTTTCCAACCAGGCCAGCCACATCCGGCACCGGAAAGTCCACGCGGGGGAGAGGCCGTACCCCTGCGCCCTCTGCGGGAAATGGTTCCCCCATCACACGGTCCTCGTGAAGCACCAGAAAATCCATGCCCGGGAAGCCTTAAACAGTCGCAAGGGGGTGGAGGAGGTGGCGGGGAAGGAGGAGAAGGAGGAGCGAGCGAAAGAAATTTAATAAAAGGAGAGTGGAGTGCTCTAGGTTTGGGAAGTTGGGACCGTAAGGCATCCTTAATAGCCCTGTGGCCTCCAGATGTGTGGAACCGCTGGCCACTTTGGGTGGAAGGGTCAAGGCGTTGTACTGGATTTCTGAAAATAACTAGGTTTAGGAAGGTTTGGCCTTGTTCAAGAGGCAACTCCGCAGCGTGTGGCCGTACAGGCTCTTGCGAAGCACTTGGTGGGCTCCAGTTCTTGATGTCTGCCCCAGCACTTGTGTAGGAGAAGGGCCCATCCCCCGGCTGAGACGTTCGAGAGCCCTCCTGATGTTTGTATCTGGGAGCTTACGTTGGATGGGTTTCTCAGTTGGGTGATGAGGGATTATTGAATGCCTGTGAAGTTGATAGTCTCAGGGGTTTAGGATCTTTACGCTATAGGCCAGAGGTCCCCAAACTTGGCAGCCTGAAGACTTGTGGACTTGTTGAAGTCCACAAGTCTTAAAAGCTGCCAAGTTTGGGGACCCCTGCTATACGCTGTAGCGACTCAGTGAAGCAGTTGATAGAAGATAAGGTATCTTTGTAATGGTTGCATTGTCAACTCGTAAAGCATTCCTATGCCTGTTTTAGTAGTTGCCATAAAAAAAAGGGGGTGGTGGTGGAAGGAAATCTGGAAGAGCAGTTGAAAGCAAAAGTACATTCCAACTCTTATCTTTAAAAGACTGTAACTAAAACACCAGAGTTTTTGCCCGCAAATATATTTAGTTGGAGAACGTGATTGATGACACCCAGCCTGTGAATGTGCTCAATTGGAGAATCTGGTTTATGAGTCACACAGGGGGAAGGGGGGAAACAGGGTCACAGGGAACGGTAAATTACATATGCCAGAGTTGGCATCATACAGGACAATGCCAGTTATGTCGCCTCTAATGAATCCTTTGAAGTTTTTGTGAAGTTTGGCTTGAGAATCCTGATTTCATTAGAGCGATTGCTGGAATCTTGACATGCATTTTTATTGCCTAATATGCTGTTCCTCTGCTGGGTGACTGGGGGATTCTGGGAGTTGTAGTCCACCTATCTTAAAACTTGCCAGGGTTTGTAAACACTGGCCTTACAACATGGGCGGGCATAATATAAGAAACGCGTTTTGTTTGGGGTTGCAGTTTGGTTGAACCATCTTGGGTAGGCTGCAATTGGGAAAAATAGCCTAATATCTGGAACTGGGCTTGTTCAGATTTTGGCTGACACAAAACCCCAGAGGTATTTTATGGGGCAAGTTAGCACAACACTCGAACCCTACTCACCTGTCTTCTTCCCACTCATGGCATGTGTCCCAAGTGCCCAACTAGGGAAAGGAAAGTGCTGGGAGGATGGGAGGTGAGTCTATAGGACCTTACCCTGCCCTTCATTTTTCCTCCTTTTCCTTGTCTCCCCTTAGTAACCATCACCACAATCAACATTCTTGATTTTTCTCCATAGTCCCTGCCAACACAGCTTGGCCTAGAATGCACTTATGCCCATTTGGACCTGGATGCGAAATCATGCAGAGAAGAGTCGTGTGCAGGATGTTTAGTGCGACCCCTAATAGCGAATTTGGGGCTATCTCAGAAAGCTTAAGAGTGGTGAGATCTGTTTAGTACTTGGATGGGAGACCACAAGGAAATCTTCAGGACTGCAGGCCATACTGGGATCTAAAAAAAAAATTAAAAAAAATTCCAGATGGCAGTATTAGTAAACCATACGAATATTGGTGCCAAGCAAAATATGCGGACACACCTGTGAAATGAACAAGAGTTGAGCTCAACTTTATGTTTGTATGGTCTAGTAGTATATAGCATAGGAATTGGGAGCAAATGGGAGAAAAAAACACCTCAGAATATATATTTTTTCCTCCCCAATTTCATTCTGTTTTTAGGTTCATTTTGCTTTAATGAGGTTTCTGACGTTGAAGGTTGTTGTCATTCCCTCAAAATTGCCACATTGAGAAGCTAATGTGTGTCATAGAAACTAATTAAAAAGGAATTAGAAATATTATTAGCCTGACTCTGAAGTTTATTTTCTTCTTCCCTTATTGTTGCTTTTCTCTTCTTTCTTATAAAGTTTTTATTTTTTTACAACAAACATACAAACAAAACATAAAAAACATAAAACCATCTTTCAATTATATATATCAGGCATGATATTCCGCTCTGAAAAAAAAATCGGGGCCAGCCAAAAGAGACCCCCCGCCGCGCGCCCGGGGAGTGCCCACTGCTTTCCCTCGCCAGGGCCGGGCGGTGGCGTGTTGCACGGAGGCTGGTCTGTGGCTGGCCCAGCTCCCTTTTCCTGCCGCTCAGCGGCCTCCGCTCGCACCGCCCGGGCTCCGCTCAGGTATCCGGCTGGGGCTGTCAGGAGTTGCTACCGCCGGTGCAGCTCCAGTCCCGCGTTGCCTCGGGAAGGGAAAGGCAAAACCAGGAGCCGCTGCTGCCGTTGCAAAGCGCCGCCGCGGCTCTTCCTTTTTGCCTTTCCCTTCCTGAGGCAACGCAGGACTGGAGCCGCGCGGAGCCGCGCCAGCAACTCCTGACTCGGGGCCTCCGAGGGGAGGGGAAGGAGGAGAAGAAGGAGGGGGGATTCCCCAAAAAATCGGAATTCCGATTTTAATTGGAAGAATATCATGCCTGATATATACGCTTTTCTTTTCTCAGTCCTGGTTCACCATGGCCTCAAAAGGCTCCCTCAGAGAAGCTGAGGTTCTACATTGACTGGAATCGCCCATTCAGTCATTGACCAATTTTTCAGAGAGGGTGGTATTCAGGCAGAACAATGATATGCTGGGAAAAGAATAACAAGGACATTGGAGACCAAAGCCCTTTATGGCGGGGGAGACGGACGACTGGTGGCCCCTTTATGACTTGTGGACTTCAACTCCCAGAATTCCTGAACCAGCCATGCTGGCTCATGAATTCTGGGAGTTGAAGTCCACAAATCATAAAGGGGCCATTCCAGAGGTGGTATTCAGCAGGCTCTGACCAGTTCTGGAGAATCGGTAGATGAAATTTTGAGTAGTTCGGAGAACCAGCAAATATCACCTCTCCTGACTGGAGATGTTACAGTATCCTTCCCCTGCCACGCCCACAAGAACCGGTTAGTGGTCCCTGGGATTTAAAATTATGAGTTTGGCGGTCCCTGAGGTCCAAAAGGTTGGCGACCCCTGCTCTATGATGCAGCAGTAAGAAGGTCCCCAGCAGTTTTTCATCCAGTTGTTCCCTGAAAAGCCTCAGGTAGTATAACCTCTGCTGGGCCCGTTTGACCAGGGCTGCAATGTGAGCATCCCAGGTCAGGTCCTCTTTTTATGGTAACTTCCAGAAACTTAAAACTGACCCCTTGCTCCACTTGGTCTCCATTGATAAGCAAAGGCTGGTTGTCTGATCTGTTTCTTAACCCATGGAACTTTACCTATGGAACAGCTTGCCTTTCATTTTATTTTTACAACAAAAACAACAAATAAAGCCATCTTTCTGTTTTACAGTGTGTCGGTTGGGTACATATATCTTTTGTGCATAGTAGTATTGTTATATATTTCTTTATTTGATTAGATTCATGAACCATTCTAGTCATATTCCATTATTATCATTTAACCATATATAATTTCAATTCTGTATCTTTCAAAAACAAATCTCATCCTTACTAACCGCTTGCCTTCAGAGGTTGGGGGTGCTTCATCACTGGAGTCTTTTTTAAGAAGATACTGGACAGCCGCTTGTCTGAAATGGCATAGGGTCTCCTGCTAGAGCAAAGGGGTTGGACTAGAAGACCTCCAAAGTCCCTTCCCGCTCTATTTCCAATTCGGATTCCTTCAGGCCCTTCGGGTGAAAGCGAAGCTTGCAGTTGCGGCGCCGTCCGGGAGGGGGCGCCCGCGGGAGCGCCGCCGGCCGCAGTGAAGCAAAGGGGCGGGGACAGGCGGGAGCAGCAGCAGCTGCAGCCGCGCAGCCCCCACCGGTCAGCCGGGAGTCTCCCCCCCCCCTCCCCCCAAGGCGGCCCGGGCTTCCCCGGCCCCATCGGACGGAACCCAGACGGGGGATCGGCGGCCTCTGCCGTTTGCGGTACGGGGTTCCTTGCGAGCTCCGCAAGGTGGAAGAGCTGGGCGGCCGGGGGCTTCTTTCCAGGATAGCGGGCGGAGCGTTGCAAAAGGGAGGCCTCCCCTCCGTCCCGGGAAAAAGGCGCGCCGCTGCCCGCTTTGCAGCCCCGATCCCGGAGCCTGCATCGCATCGCATTGCATTGTCTTGCATCGCCTGCCGTTGCATTGCATTGTGTTGCGCCGCATCCTTTGCTTCCCAGCGCAGGGGGGGTTTTCGGCGGGCCGGGCTCCGTACCGCGGAGAAGAAAGGAGCGATCTCTATCCTCCTCCGTCCCCGGGAGCGCGGGGGTGGGGTGGGGGATGCCGATGCAGGGCCGCCGCTGAACTCTTGCACCCCGAATGGGTGGGTGGGTGTGCATTCGCGCGCTAGTATTTGTGTGGGTGTGTATGTGCGCACAAGAGAGCGGGAGACCCCCGGCTGGAAGATCAGCCTTTGACCTTTTTTTGTGGGGGTGGGGTAAGCAGAAGGGGCCCGGGTTGGCCCTGCGGCTCCCTCCTCTTTCCCCAAATAAAGGGGTGGGGAGACCGCTAAAGAGGACTTTTTCTTTTAGCTTTGTGTTATTTTTCTGGTTGGGGATTTCAAGTTTGCTGGAATACGATGCCCCGTTTAACAACATGGCCCTTTGGATGCACAAAAGTTGTGTGTGTGTGTGTATATAAAAGTAGTGTGTGTATATATATATATACACTACACAAAAGTAGTGTATGTGTGTATGTGTGTATATATATATATATACACACATATAAGGTATTCAGCTTTGTTCGGGTATTTTCCCACATCATTATAGTTGTGCTTTTAAAGTTGTAGCAATTCGGCAGAATCCCATCTGCCATCATCAGGCTTCTGTATTGTGTTTGTCTGTGAGTCAGACTTTTACAGTTGTTCTGGGAAAATACCCGAACAAAGCTGAATACCATACATGTAAGTACCCACGAAAACTTAAGAAAACATATATGTCTGTGTGTGTGTGTGTATACACACACATACACACATACTATCATCTATCTATATCTATATCATCTATCGTTTATATCTGTATCATCTATATCTCTATCTCTTATCTATCTCTATCTATCTGTCTATCTATCTCTATCTTATCTATTTATCTATCTATCTAGTCTATAAAGTGCCCTTAGGTTGTTATTCTGCTTGGGTGTATGGTAAGGTAGCTTGTGGTTGTTGTTTTTCTAGCTCAAATGATGCATGTTTATTTAGAACTCAAAATGTGAATCTTAGCAAATATCTGTTCTCTTTTTTTTAATGTATTTTTTAATTTTAATTATGAGAATACAACACAATGCATCCAACTTAGCCTTGTTATACACATATACATTTTACTTCATCATTTGTAATCTCCTTATTTGATATATTAATTACTCATTAATCTAATCATAACTACTAATATTTCGACCTTGTCTTCTGCTATATAACCACTGATAAAATGTATTCCATGTTTTATAATATTTAGATTCTGCTTTGTCTTTTATTTCTAAAGTTATCTGATTCTGCACGTGCCATAATTGTTCTTATTATTTCTGTTTCTGGAGGTATGATTTCATTTTTCCACTATTGTGCATATATTATTCTAGCTGCCGTCAATACATGTATTATTAGACACATTATTTCCTCCTTAATTTTTTTCTGATATATATCTGAAATATATATATCTGTTCTCTTTTATCCTTCTTTACAGTCTCCAAGCTATTGGACAGCCTTGCCCGTTTATGCTAAAAAGTGATTGATCTGATAAATACATAACTCCCGGTTTCCCAGAAAGCAAACGGGCGAGAAAACATTAAAAAGAATTAGAAGAAAAGATCAGAAGAAACAAAGACTCTGGCTTTTCCATTCAGTCTGTCAAAGCAAGCAATTCAGGAACCACCTGAAAAGGTCAAAAGAGATCCATTCATTGGAATGGAGGAGCGCTGGGATACACAATGGGAGCCATTTCTCGAAACACAACCCACCCACGCAGGCAGGCACTTGGAGGCTTCTCCCTGGCAAGACCCCAAGGCCTTCCTGGCCTCCTTCGAGCAGGTGGCCACGGCCTGCCGGTGGCCCAGAGCAGAGTGGGTGGCCCAACTTTTGCCAGCCCTTTATGGAGATGCGGAAGAGGCCTTTCAGAGCCTGGATATCATTCATCAAGAGGATTACGAGACCGTGAAGGTGGCCATCTTGAGGGGAGATGCGGTGAAAAGCGAGGCCCAGCGTCAACGTTTCAGACAGTTCTACTGCCAGGAAGTGGAAGACCCACGGAAGGTTCAAAGCCACCTCGAGGAGCTTTGCCACCAGTGGCTGAAGCCCGAGAGTCACACCAAGGATCAGATCCTGGAGCTCTTGATCTTAGAGCAATTCCTGGCCAGCCTACCTCCAAAGCTTCAGGACTGGGTTCAGTCCAAGAGGCCGCAGACGAGTTCCCAGGCTGTGGCCCTGATGGAGAACTTCCTTAGGAGCCAGCCGGAAGTCAAATCCAAGCCGTGTCAGGTATGAATAGAATAGAATAGAATAGAATAGAATAATAGAATAGAATAGAATAGAATAGAATAGAATAGAATAGAATAGAATAGAATAGAATTCTTTATTGGACAAGTGTGATTGGACACACAAGGAATTTGTCTTTGGTGCAAATGCTCTCCATGTACATAAAAGAAAAGATACATTCATCAAGAATCATAAGGTACAACACTTAATAATAGTCATAGGGTACAATAAGCAATCATAGGGTACAATAAGTCATACTAGGAAACAGTCAATATAGATCGTAAGGATACAAGCGACAAAGTTACAGTCATACAATCACAAGTGGGAGGGGATGGGCGATAAAGAGTGATGAGAAGGTTAATAATAATAGTAGTGCAAACTTTGTAAATAACGGTTTACGATGTAACTCTCCTTTAAATTCCTATTTACAGTGGATATAAAAGAAGTCTAGGTACACCTATTAAAATGCCAGGGTTTTGAAATGTCAACCAATCAGATTAAGATAAATCACTTCAGAATTTCTTCCTATTTTAATAGCAATAGCACTTAGACTTATATACCGTTTCACAGTGCATTTGTACATAAGCAGTTTACAGAGTCAGCCTATTGCCCCCAACAATCTGGGTCCTCATTTTACCCACCTCGGAAGGATGGAAGGCTGAGTCAACCTTGAGCGTGGTGAGATTTGAACTGCCAAATTGTAGGCAACTGGCAGTCAGCAGAAGAAGTCTGCAGTAGTGCATTCTAACCACTGTGCCACCACATAAGCTGTAAAATTCAATTGAAAAACAGAGTGAAATCTTCCAAGGGAAAAAAAAACAACAAAAATTTACAATTAAGGTTGCAATGGTGATTGTGTGACCCAGGGTCACTACAACCAGTTGTATGTGTGACCTTCGAGGACCAACTGCAACGAGGCCATCATAACATCCTTAATCAATCAGAATAGAGCTGGAAGGGATCTTGGAGCTGGAAGGGATTTCTCTAGCTCAAGCTAGAGGTCCTATATCAGTGGTGGCTAACCTTTTTGGGCTCCTGTGCCAAAAATTGTGCGCGCACTTGCACGCTCGCGCTCGCATGCCAGCACTCAGAAGGCAATGTGCACACCCCCCACGCCCCCTACGCATGTGCGCACAATCCCCCCACCCCCTGCTGCCCCCTTACCTGCACTGTGCCTCACAGCTGTTTTTTGGCCGGTTTGAGGCCTTTTTCGGCCTCCCAAAGGCTTGAGGAAGGCGTCTGCAGGCTTCTGCAAGCTTTGTAGGCCGAAAACTAGCCCTGTTCCGTCACTTCCCGTATTTTTGGAAAAAGAGGAAATGATGAAATGGGGCTAGCTTTCGGCCTACAAAGCTTGCAGAAGCCTTCCTCAAGCCTTTGGGAGGCCGAAAAAGGCCTCAAACCAGCCAAAAATCAGCTGTGAGGCGGGCACAAGCGCAGTGAGGTAAGTTTGCCTGCAGCTCGCGTGCTGGCATAAATGACTGTGCGTGCCACAGATTCGCCATCACAGGCCTATATCATTTTAGACAAGTCTCTCTTTAAAAACCTCCAGTGATGGAGCGCCCAGAACATCTGGAAGCAAGCTATTCCACTGGTTAAGTTGGTCTTGATGAGCCTCAAACAAACCAAGGGCCTGCTGTGACTGTATGTGGGATGTGTGTGTGTGGTGTTGGTGCATGTGTGGTGTTGTGTCTGTCAGGATTCCAGCAATCGCCCTAATGAAATCATGATTCTCGAGTCAAACTTCGAAAAACTTCAAAGGATTTATTAGAGGCGACATACTGACACTGCCCTGTGTGAAGCCAACTCTGGCATCCATAATTTACAGTTCCCTGTGACCCTGTTTCCCCGCTTCCCCCTGGGTGTCTTGTAAACCAGATTCTCCAATTGAGCAAGTTCACGGGCTGGGTGTCATCAATCACGTTCTCCAATTAAATATATTCACGGGCAAAAGCTCTGGTAGTTTAGTTACAATCTTTTATATATATATAAAGTTTTTTTTATTTTTAACAACAAACATAGACAAGTACAAACATAAAACAACAAAATAAAACCATCTTTTAACTGTACACTGTGTTGGTTGGTATATAATTTTTGTGCACAATATATACGATCTTTTGCTCTTGAATTTAAATTTACATTCATATTATATTAACTTTCCATATCATATTATTATTACACCATCGTTAAATTTAAGTTTCAAGTCCACATTATCCTTTAGAGCAAAATCTCAATTCTTACCAATTTTAATACATATTAAAAGTCATTCTAGTTAACAATCTTTTGAAGGTAAGAGTTGGAAATGTACTTTCGCTTTCAAACTGCTGCACTGCTCTTCCACATTTCCTTCCTCTCCCCATTTTTTTTATGGCAACTACTAAAACAGGCATAGGAATGTTTTATGAGTTGACAGTCTGTGTGTGTGTGTGTGTGTGTGTGTGTGTGTGTGAAAACCAGCTCTTCTGAGGGGAACTCTGTTCCCTGTTTCAGGGGCCATTGAAAGGGAAGCATTTACATGAAGAAGAGTCTGTGGAGACGGCAAACAGCGAACATGGTGAGAACAAGATCAATAAGGCAGGTAAGGGTTTTCCTGAAATATAAGCAGCAGCACGCAAATACTGTAATGTAATGTTTCCGAATTCTGTTTTTATATAAATAAAAATCAAGCTTTTTGTGTACCCTCATCTTCCTTGCTAGCCATTTTTAATTGAATTAGATTTTAATTTAATTTGTGTCCTTCCGACAAGCAAAGTCACTGGAAAATAGGAGGAGGAAGGTATTTGTTGCCTTTGGTTATTTGTAAAATAAGTTATTTGTTAAGGACAAATTACAATGGTTTAAAGCATGAAAATCACGCTATGAAATACTTCAAACACAAAAGATAAATTGGGAATGTCACAATCTTGAAACAAAAACTGCCTTTCCCAAAAGTTTTGAGACTAAAAGAAAACTCATCCACTCTAAACACCCAGATGCTTGCATGTGACTATCTTGCTTTAAAAAAAAAAAAGCAGCGATCTCCTGCTTTCAATTGTTTAATTTTCATTATTATTATTATTTTCATACTGGGCTATGTCTCTTGACCTCCTGCAAAAAGCAATCTAATCTCAATGTATTCCAATTCTAGGTTTTAGAGGACAGCGGATGGAGCAAATGCCGAAAGAAGGAAAATTTGGAAGTGCAGATTTAGAAGAGGAAACAGAAGGAGGAAAACGGCCCGGTGCAATTCAGTCTGAGTCCGAGCAACAACCATCCCAGAAGAACCAAAATGATCCATTTTGGGGGGTGGCAGAGAGCTGGGAAATCCAGTGGCAGCGGTTCCTCCAGACATCACAACCCCCTCCCAATAGATGGAAGAATCCGATGAGGTCAGAGGATTCCCCCTGGGAAAACCCCAAGGCCTTCCTGCTCTCCTTTGAGCAAGTGGCCGAAGCTTGCCGCTGGCCTAGGGAAGAATGGGCCGCCCAGCTCTTCCCAGCCTTGAGCGGAGAAGCGGAAGAGGCCGTTCAAAACCTGGAAATCCAAGAGCGGGAAAACTATGACAAAGTGAAGGCGGCCATCTTGCGAGGGGAAGCCCTGAGGACAGAGATGCAACGCCAGCATTTTCGGCAGTTCTGCTGCCAGGAGTTGGGAGACCCCCGGAGATTTTACGGCCAACTCCACCAGCTGTGTCTCCAATGGCTGAAGCCTGAGAGACACACCAAGGAGCAGATCTTGGAGCTGCTGATTCTGGAGCAGTTCTTGGTCAGCCTCCCACCAGATCTCCGGATCTGGATCCGAGCAGGAAGGCCAGATACGTGTTCCCAGGCGGTGGCCCTGGTGGAGGACTTCCTGTCGAGCCTGCAAGAGGCCAAATCTGGATCCTGTCAGGTAGGATCTGAATTCCAGAACTGACGGTACAGAATCTGGATTAGGCTTCTGGAATTGCCAGCATATAATCTGATGCAAAGGCTTTACACTCGTAATACAGTGGAACCTCGGGTCACGAACACTTCCAAATCGAGTTCCAATCAAAAAAATCCACCCGATTTTTGAATTGGGGTCACGATTCAAAAATCGGGTGGCGAACAAACCCGGCCGCGGCAGATTCCCTTTCCGTGCCGATTTCCCCATCCGCGCATGTGCAGTCCATGCAATTTTTGTCCGTGCATGCGCAATCAGTCGTGCTTCTGGTCATGACCAAACCGAGTTGCAACCGTGGTCATGGAACAGATTATGTTTGCAACACGAGGTTCCACTGTACACAAGGATGAAAGCCAGCTTTTAAAATGAAATGTATTTAAAAAAAAATTGTTTTCATTACAGTTGTCTATTTTCTACACAACTGTGTTTCCTGCAAAAAAAAAAAAACAGTTTAGAGGGAGGAAATTTCACAGGACGGGGCGGTTGCTGGAATTGGGTATGTCTAGTTTAATGAAAAGAAGGACTAGGGGTGACATGTGACAAGAGCCTCGGTGGTGCAGTGGTTACAGTGCAGTACTGCAAACTACTTCTGCTGACAGCCAGCTGCCTGCAGTTTGGCAGATCAAATCCCACCAGGCTTAAGGTTGACTCAGCCTTTCATCCTTTTGAGGCAGGTAAAATGAGGACCCAGATTGTTGGGGGCAATATGCTGACTCTGTAAAACTGCTTAGAGAGGCCACTATAAAGCGGTATGTAAGTCTAAGTGCTATTGCTATATTAGCAGTGGTCTCATATGTCAGGAGCTGCCACAATGAAGAGGGAGTCAAGCTATTCTTCAAAACCCCTGAAGGCAGGACAAGAAGCAATGGGTGGAAACTAATCAAGGAGAGAAGCAACCTAGAATTAAGGATAAATTTCCTCACAGTTAGAACAATAAACCAGTGGAAACAACTGGCCTCCAGAAGTTGTGAATGCTCCAACACTGGAGGTTTTTAAAAAAGAGATTGGACTGGTTGTTATACCTTGAAATGGTATAGGGCCTCCTGTTTGAGCAGGGGGTTGGACTAGAAGACCTCCAAGGTCCCTTCCAACTCTGTTACTCTGTTTTCCAGCTTTGGGAAGGTCAAACTCTTATATGGGAACTATGAGAGGTTTAACATTTTACATACAGCTACTCCTTGCTTAAGAATAGAAGAGAATTCTTTTATTGGACAAGTTTGATTGGACACCCAAGGAATTTGTTTTGGTGCAAATACTCTCATATACATAAAAGAAAAGATTCACCAAGAATCATAAGGCACAACACTTAATGATAGTCATAGGATACAATAAGCAATCAAATCATACTAGGAAACAGTCCATATAAATCGTAAGGATACAAGCGACAAAGTTACAATCATACAGTCACAAATGGGAGGGGATGGGCGATAAGGAGTGATGAGAAGGTTAATAGTAATAGCAGTGCAGACTTTGTAAATAGTTGAGGGAATTATTTGTTTAGCAGAGTGATGGTGTTTGGGGGAAAAACTATCCTTGTGTCTAGTTGTTCTGGTGTGCAGTGCTCTATGGGGTCGTTTTGAGGGAAATTTATGTCCGTGATGTGAGGGGTCTGTAAATATTTTCACAGCCCTCTTTTTGACTCGTGCATATATATACAGGTCCTCGATTGAAGGCAGATTGGTAGCAATTGTCTTTTCTGCAGTCCTAATTACTCTCTGGAGTCTGTGTCTGTCCTGTTGGGTTGCAGAACCAAACCAGACAGTTAAAAGTCTAGTCACTTAATGGCTGTTTGAAGACCTCCCCAGAAAGTACTTAGGATGCAGTATTGAAGTTGACCTCCCCCTGCCCCCCTCCCTCGTGGTCACATGATTGCATTTTGGTGCTTGTCACCTGGCTCACCTTCATGGCCTTTTGCAGCATCCAGTGGTCACATTATCGTAATTTTTGTCAGGGTGGGATGGGGGTTGAGGGTTTGCTGATTTTCAGTGTTTCCTTTTGGTTTCCTGCCCCCCCCCCCAAAAAAAAACACATTTTGGACAAAATAGATTCACTTGCCAATCGCCATGTTTGCTAAGTGACTGCTGCAAAAAAAAAAAAAAAAGTAATAAAATTGGACACAATTGTACAATCTGCTTAATGACCGCAACGTCTTATGACTGGAATACCACACTCATTTATGTTCACAGCTTGAGGATTACCTATGCCAGTGGCCCCCAACCTTTTTTGTGCCGCGCCCGGTACCGGCATCACAAAATCATCCACGGCCCGGTACCAGCATCACAAAATCATCCGCGGCCCGGTACCGGCATCAGCACGCATGGCAAGGCGAGCCGAGCGACCGGCCAGCCAGCCATCCCCCACTTCTCCCCGCCGCCTTCAACTCCTCCTTTGTACCTGTGTCGATGGGCTTCGCGACGGCTTCGGGATGGTCGCTTGGCTCGCCTTGCCATGCGTGCTGAAAGAATCCTCGCGCCTTAGTTTTGTTCGAAGCCGCGTGCCCCCTCGATGAAACTAAGGCGCGAAGATTCTTTCAGCATCCAAACGCTGCTTTCTACCCGGAAAAGCTCACCGGAAGCACTTTTTCATCAAAACAAGATGGCGGCGCCCAGCAAACCGGCGGCCCGGTAGAAATTGTCCCACGGACCGGTACCGGTCCGGGGACCGGTGGTTGGGGACCCCTGACCTACACTGTTTTGGATCCTGTCTGATTCTGAGTAGCCCCCTGGGTAGCCCCCTCAGGGACCGGCTGAGTTCTCTCTTTTTTTTTTTATGGCGAAATCCATCTGAATGGATCCATCTGTCTCCCTGTTTCAGGAGCTGCTGAAGGAAGATCCTGTGGATTTTGATCCTGGAGAGGAAGAACTCTTGGAAACAATGAAGAGGGAAAGAGTTGAAATGGAGATCAGTATGTTGGGTAAGGATTCCCAGGGAAATAGGAAATGTATGAGCGCGTGACAAAAGAAATTGAATGTGTAAGATTTGACATACAGGATAGATCTGGCCAAGACCTCACCAGTTAAACCAGGAGCTTGGCTGATATTGGGGTGGTGGTAGTTCTTGGTGCTCTTTGAACTTGGTGTTATTTTACACTGTTTATATTATTTTATTTATACACATGGTTGGCTTGCAGTTGTTTTATTTCTTGCACGCTCCCAACTATACTTGGGGTATGGTTCTTACCAGCTACCAGACTATTCTGTCCTAGTCCTCACCAAAAAGCACTCAGTCAAATTCTGAGTCCCCGCCAAAACCTCTTTATTTACAATAATGTGAATTATTTCATTCACAGTCAGCCAACAGCTTGGCAAACAGTCTCGCGAAGGTAGACTAATTATCTCAGACTTTTATCAATCCTGGAATGCTGCCCGGTAAATAGTTCCACGCTCACTGTTGGCAGGGAAGGCTGGGTTTACAGACAAATCTCCGCGAGGCTGGAACAAACGACCGAATGAGCGAGTTGTTTCCTGCAAAAGCCCCCTCCCCTTTTGCTCCTCTTTTAATCCTGATGGGAGGGGCCATTCATCGTCCACCTGTGTCCTTGCTCCCACATCGACCCTGAGTTCTTAATTGCTCCTTTCTTTTAGCAAATCTGCGTGTACGCAGGCTGGGAACCGGTTCCAATTGCTCCCCAGCATCATTGCTATCTGAGCCCGAAGGCAGCTGATGACTGCCAGCCTGCCCTCTGCCTCTGATGCAGATCCCTTATCTGAGCTTTCCTCAGTCTCCAAGACTGGCCCAAGTTCCACCCCAACCTCCTCACTACTGTCTGACTCTGCGGGCCACAACCCAGACGTTCAGCAGAGTGAAACACATTGGAAGAAAATTCCAACCAAAAGGAAGTCAAAGGCCTTGTGAAAATAAGTAATCAAGGCATAGTTAACAATTTTTCTCTTTCTCGGCAGGTAACGGATGGGAAAGTGGAGTTAAGATGGACGACTCTTTGGATGAAGATGAAAATCTGGAGGCAACCTACAGGACAGACTCCCCGAGATGCCCGGTGGATCTGCCGTTAAACTTCGAGTCAAAACAGCAGACCCAGGAGACACCTATGGAGAACGAGAAGGAACGTCTTTTGCTGGCAAAAAGATTTTCTACTGCTGTAATTGGAAAGACCACTTTATCCAGCAAGGATAAAACACGCTTGTTTTCCAAGTATGGTCGGAAGTATCACTACAGAGTGGAACTTGACATGATAGATTCCTCGGAGGACTTTGAAGAATGGCCCAGCTCAGAGGAAGACCTCCAGTGTCTTTCCGACTTCTGCGGAAAGGAAGAAAACAGAAGGCTTGAGAAAAAGTGCAAGTTTTCTGGGAAGAGAAATGGGAATCGTTTGAACAGATACCAGCGTAGTTATCTAGAAGAAGAACACGACCGTTCTCTCGAATACAGGAAAACCTTCAGTCATGCAAACTCACTAAATATTATGCAGGCCCCTAACGAGGCTGAGAGGAAAGTGTATGAATGTTCTCAGTGCGGGAAACAATTTGGTAAATTTAGTCAGTGGAATCAACATCAGAAAATCCACACCGGAGAAAAACCGTACAAATGTTTCCAATGTGGAAAGTCTTTCAATCAAGCAGGAAATCTCAAGACCCACCAGAAAATCCATACTGGAGAGAGACCCTATAGATGTTCCCAGTGTGGGAAAAGCTTCAATCAGGCAGGAAATCTGAAAACCCACCAAAAAATCCATACCGGAGAGAGGCCCTACAAATGCCCTCAGTGTGGGAAAAGCTTCACCCGAGGGATCCTTCTGAAGATACATCAAAGAATCCACACTGGGGAAACCCCGTACAAATGTCCTGAGTGCGGGAAAGGATTCAATGAGATGCGCAACTTGAAAAGACACCAGAGAATTCATACCGGAGAGAAACCTCACCGATGTTCCCAGTGTGGGAAATGCTTCACCGAGGCAGATGTTTTGAAGATACACCAAAGAACGCACACCGGAGAGCGGCCATACAAGTGTTCGGAGTGCGGGAAATGCTTCAATAAATCGGGGACTTTGAGGAGACATCAAAGAATCCATACCGGCGAGAAACCCTACAAATGTTCTCAGTGCGGGAAAGGTTTCAACCAGATGGGGACGTTGAAAAAACACCAGAGGCTTCATCCAGGGGAGAAACACTACAAATGTTCTCCAATCCACGCTGCAATTTATATCGGCGAGAAACCGCACAAGTGTTCGGACTGCGGGAAATGTTTCCGACAGGCAGGACTTCTGAAGAGGCATCAAAGAATCCATACCGGCGAGAGACCCTACCGATGTTCTCAGTGTGGGAAATGGTTCAATCAATCAGGAACTTTGAAGAGACATCAAAGAATTCATGCCGGAGACAAGCCACCCCAGTTTCTCAGCGGTGGAAATACGCCAGTCAGGGAAGTGACTTGAAGAACTATCTGGACATTCATATTTCAGGAAAAAAGCCACAGATGTAACTAAAACCTAGTGGGAAAAACCTCCCATGATCGGAATGTAGTAATTGAAAAATACAATCCATTGAAAATAAAGAGCGGCGGTAGAATAGAAGAAAGAGTTTTAGTGTATGATTGGGATAAAGGCAGAGAAGTCCTCGACTTGCAACCACAATAGGGGTTGGAATTTCAGTTGCTAAGTGATGCGGTCAATAAACGAGTTGCCATGGGACCAGATCTGATTTTACAACCGTTTTTTATCATGATTGTTAAGTAAATCTGGCTTCCCCAATTGACTTCACTTGTGGGAAAGTCACAAATTGCAATCACGAGATACTGCAACCGTCATAAAGGCGAGACCGTTGTCAAGTGTCGGAATTATTGTGTGACTGAGGAATGGTCGTAAGTCACTTTTTCCAAAACCATCGTAAGTTGGAACTGTCATTAAAGGAATGGTTATAAGTCAAGGACTACTTGTAAAATCAATATAAATGTTATTGCCCTCCATCTTTCGCCCAAGCTATGAAATATGTAGATTATGCTTTCTGAAAGCAGGGAGAGATCGAAAATGTGGAGTTGAATTCAACTTATTGCTTAGGAGCTTTTGAAAAGAATACAGAGAAAGGATCATTGTACACTTCCAATCCATTCGTGGATACCATACAGAATAAAGGGACTTGTTCTCTTTCATTCCACAGGGCAAAACAGGAAACCATGAAATGAATGCTGGGACAAAAACTCCTAAGACATTCATTAGTAATAAAAAAAAATGGTCGAGCAGTTGAATCAATTGTACAATGAGATGATGGTTCACTAGAGGTGTCCGTCTGTCACGGACACTAATTGGGATTCTCGCATGGAGCCGAGGTTGGACTTGATGCTCTTTAATGACTCTTTCCAGCTGTGGTTCCACGATTCCTGACAAGACCAAATGACGGTGAGTTTGGAGCCCAACTGTACCTGGCGGTTGGCCATTCTTTCATTTTGGCCGTCAGAGCTTGCATAGCATCTGGAGGTTCTTCTGGACTCAACAACCTTCTGGACTCACAAGTTCTGCTCAACAAGCAAGTGGCACATGGCTAGGAGGGCTTTTGCATAAATACATCTTGTGCATTTGTCACACTTTTTCCAACCCTATCGGGCCCTGCTCACAGTCGGCCATGCCTTATACGTCTCTTGATTGGACTGTTGCACTGTACTCCAGAGGGCCTGCCTAACCCTAACCCTTGAAGAGCATTCAGAAGCTGCAACTGATCCAATAGGAGTGCATGGCCCACATAATGCCCTACTTGTCAAGCCCGAAATTGACGTGTAGTCATTTTATTTAGCCTTATTATATATTCCTTTTCTTTCTTTCTCTTTGCTGGTTATGGGGAGAAGGGTTTCAGGCTTGCCACATTCCTAAGGTGGGAGGAGTGGAGATTAGAGTTGTTTAAGCTAGGTGGTTCTTCTTCCCGTGGGAACAAAAGCTGACCCTGCTGACACCTGGAGGTGGAGATTGATGACATCAGGAAACGTTGATTTACTTCTATTGGGGAATATGACTTTTGGGAGCTGGTTTCTAACTTCCAATATTATGTGGTGTAATTCCGGGTTGGGTCAGATCTAGAAGGACAACAGACTCTGCCATGTTGATGCTTTCCTAAATAAATCGTTTTGGAAGATGGACTTTGCTCTTTTCTTTTTAAATGGATTTCATCACTTGGACACCTGACACCTACTATATGAGCTGCCCTCCCTCCCAAGATCCTTCAGGGTGCTGGTCATCACCTTTAAAGCCCTACCTGGCACAGGTGCCAAGTTTTATTTGCAGGACTGCCTGTCCCTGCTCCTCCCCTAATTCTGGCAGGGTGAGCGTACGCCATTAAACAACCCTTTAGTTAAACTGCTTCCTGGTGGGGACACGGAAGCACTGCCTTATGGAACAGCCTCCAGCTCAACCTTGACCTGCAGGAAAGCAGTGAGTATCTGGATTTCTCTCCCAGGTGCTAGGACCAGGATGTTGATCGTGCCGCCAAGATGTAGTTGATTGATGGAAGTAAGTTTTATCTGAACCCCTGCCATAGTTTTGAGTATTTGTTTTGTTTTGATCATATTGTGTTTTTTGCTCTTGCGTGCCACCTAGTGTCCTTTCTAATAGAAGGGTGGCTATGTAAGTTTGTTTAAGAAATAAAACTTTTTTTGTAAAATATATGTGTCTGTCTGTGTCTGTCTCTCTCTCTCTCTCTCACACACACACACACACTGGAGAGAGAATACCTAAATGTTATGGTATTCAAGTCAGTTCTGGAAAAAAAATGTACTCTATTGCAGGGCTCTCCAAACTTTACAACTTTAAAGACTTGTGGACTTCAACTCCCAGAATTCCTCAGCCAGCATGAGTGGCTGTCTGAGGGATTCTGGGAGTTGAAGTCCACAAGTCTTAAAAGTTACAACATTTGCTGCTCTATGGTATGGGTAGAGTGCTGATTGAAATGCTCTGAATCAGTGGTGGGATTCAGATTTTTTTTATTACCAGTTCTGTGGGCATGGCAGGGGAACGATACTGTAAAAATCTCCAGTCAGAGGTAGCATTTGCCAGTTCTCCAAACTACTCCAAATTTCCGCTACTGGTTCTCCAGAACTGGTCAGAACCTGCTGAATACCCACCTCTGGCCTGGATGTTGAAGGAGGCTTCAGTTCAGTGCGGTGGCATAGCTTGCTGTAAAAGAATTCATTCTCATAGTGTCGGGTTATTTGGCAGCTGTTTTAAAACAAGAGAAGTTGTTTTCTTACCGCTCAACTGATTTCTTGAGACGAACAGGATGAGGTTACAAGACTTATTTATTTATTTTTTGCATTAGTCAGCCTATCTCCCTAAGGAAAGAGACTTCCTGCTTCAAACAGCCGTCCAACGAATTGACAAGAAGGCAGGTCTCTGATAAGAGGGAATATTAAGGCTGCTTATTTATAGAAGAGTCTTGAGTTCCTGCTCCCTGGGGACCAGCCTTTATATGCATGGAAGCGTGAGGGTAGCTTGTGAGAAAGTATCATTTAAGACTGCCTGCAGGAAAAAATTCCCAAAGTAGCTGAGAAAATCAGTCCTAGAAAATTCATTCCTCCCACAAAAAGAAAAGTCGAGGGGAAGGAGACAGATTCTCCGGAGGGTGGGAAGGTTTCCATTAAGGAAGATGCAGAGGACGATTCGATGAAGGTTGTTCCTCAAAACTTTATTTCTCAGGATCCCTTCCCACTTCTGAATATTAGAAGAGCTTTTGTTTTCTATGAAGCATATTTATCAGTATTTACCATATTAAAAAATATAATGGATGCATTCATTGCCACTATCTCTCTTCACATGATATTTAATATTGGATTGTTTTTCAACATAGCCTGACAAATAATTTTGATATCACAAACCCCTAAGTGTGTCTTGAGGAACCCCAACAGGTTCTATAACCATGAGGAGTAGTTTCTGGTGAAAACCAAAATAAATACATAGGAAGGAAGGAAGGGAAGGGAGGGAAGGTAGTCCTCATTTAGTGGCCACAATTGGGACTAGCAGTCGCTAAGGGAAATTCTGTTTATGATCTTACCTCAGCTTCTTTTGTTTTAGAGACCTGTGTTCTGATCCAAACCCTTTTCCAATAAGACAAACACGAACCAAAGGGAACAGAAACCTTTTAATGAGTCTTACGAATCCCCGGTTAAAAGGCTGCTGCAAACTAATTAACTTTGATAAGCACAAACCTGGCCAAAACTGTACGAGACTGCCAAGAATCACAGATAAGAAATATTTCACAACACAAAGAGTCTTCAAATACCAACTTAAAATACTGTAATGTCCACGAGGCTGAGTTTCAAAACGTCTTTGCTTTCTGCAAAGAACGTTCATTTCACGGCTGGCTTTTATCTTCTTGAAGGAGGGGCCATTACCTTCCAGCCTTACTCCCGAGTCGCCCGTGCTGCTGCAGCTGCTCTTTCCTGCGAGCAGCCCTGTGTGCACACGCACTTGGCACAGGCTCCTTGGGAACCTCCTCATCGCTGCTGCCAGCCCCCACAATCTCTGAAGGCAGCAGTCCACTCCCTAATGGTCCTGGCCCCTCATCTGAGTCCTCGCTCTCCTCAGCCGTCCGCACCTGAGAAGAGAAGAAATTGGACAGCCACTTGTCTGGAAGAGTGCAAAGAAGAATAACCAGGATGATTAGGGGACTGGAGGCTAAGACATACAACGAACGGTTGCAGGAACTGGGCATGGCTAGTTTACTGAAGAGAAGGACCAGGGGAGATATGAGAGCAGTCTTCCAATATTTGAGGGGCTGCCACAGAGAGGAAGGGGGTCAAGCTATTTTCTAAAACACCCAAAGGCCAGACAAGGAATAATGGATGGAAACTGAACAAGGAGAGATTCAACCTGGAAATAAGGAGAAATTTTCTGACAGACCAATGGAACAGAAGTTGCCTTCAGAAGTTGTGGGCGCTTCATCACTGGAACCTTTCAAGAAGAGAATGGACTGCCATCAGTCCAAAATGGTGTAGGGCCTGCTTTTTTTGGGGGGGGGGTTGGACTAGATGACCTACAAGGTCCCTTCCAACTCCGTTAATCTGTATATCTGCAATAATATAGGGTCTTCTGCTTCAGCAGGGGCAAGATCTCCAAAGTCCCCTTCAATTCTTATTCTGTGTTCTGCATTACACAGAAGTGCTGCTCTGGGAGTTGTGAGAAGTAGGAGGGGGGGGCAATGGCTCCTTGTAGGGTAGAGAGAAAGGGGAGGGAGAGGAGGAGGGGGTAGAGAGAGAAAAGGGAAGAAAGGAGAGGAATGGGAGAGAGATAAGTAGGGGAGAGAAGGGGGAGAGGAAAGAGGAGGAGAGGAGAGGGAGAGAGGAGGGGGAAAGGAGGGAGAAAGAGAAGGGAGAGGAGGAGAGGGAGGAAGAGAGAAGGGAGAGGGAAGAGGAGAGAGAGACATGGGGGGAGAGGAGAGAGAGAGAGAAGGGGGAGAGGAGAGAGACAAAGACAGAAAGAGGAGAGAGAGAGGTGTGGGGAGAGGAGAGACAGACAGAAGGGGGAGAGAGACAAAGAGACAGAAAGAGGAGAGGAGAGAGAGATG